CACACACAGCCAATTTTTTTTTTTTTTTGTATTTTTAGTAGAGACAGGGTTTCACCATGTTGGCCAGGCTGGTCGTGAACTTCTGACCTCGGGTGATCCGCCTGCCTCGGCATCCCAAAGTGCTGGGATTACAGGCATAAGCCACCACGCCTGGCCTGAATAAATATTATGAGTACGTACTCTGTGCCAGGTACTAGGCTCCTACAGTAAATAGAATTGGCATGGTCCTTGCCCTTGTGGAACTTATGCTGAGTGGGGGAGGCAGATATTAAGAAAACCACACATAAATAAATATAAAATAAATACATAGTTAGAAATTTTGGCAAATTCTTTGAATAAAAAGATGTCAATGGATTTGAAGACAATAGGGTGGATTGAAGATATATTTTGGAGGTGAAATCAACAAGATCTGATTGTGACTTCTGTGTTGGGGTGAGGGAATTATCAAGGATGACTTTTAGGTTCTGGTTTGTACAGTGGAGTGGATGGTGTAAATTATTAATTTAAGGAAGAGCAGATTTTGGGGTAAGGGAAAGTGGGAGATACTGTTTTATTTTTGAACTGTTAGGCTTGGGATGCCTGTGGTTCATTTTTTGCATGGAGATACTAAGAAAGCAGTTGGATGTATAGGTTTGAAACTCAGAGAGATCAATTGAGAGTCATAAGCATTTATTGTGGTTAGTATTTAAACCCATAGAAATTTATGGAATTCCCTAGGAAGAGTATAGAAAGAGAAGAGAGTCCAGGACTGACATCGTCCCCTCACTTCCACCCCAAAAGACTTCAACATTTAGAGATCTAGAAGAGGAGAAAGAGAACAAAGGACAACAGAAAAGAATCATTCAGGGTAAAACTGGAAAAATGCAATAACAAGGCTGGATGCCGTGGCTCATGCCTGTATTCCCAGCACTTTGGGAGGCTGAGGCAGGCAGATCTCTTGAGGTCAGGCGTTCAAGACCAGCCTGGCCAACGTGGTGAAACCCTGTCTCTACCAAAAAAAACACAAAATTAGCTGGGTGTGGTGGCGCGTGCCTGTAGTCCCAGCTACTTGCAAGGCTGAGGTGGGAGAATCACTTGAACCTGGGAGGCAGAGGTTGCAGTGAGCCGAGATTGTGTCACTGCACTCCAGCCTGGGCAACAGTGTGAGACCATGTCTCAAAAAAAAGAAAAAAAATGCAGTAACAAAGACAAAAGTGTTTTAAGGAGTTCTTTAGGAAATTTTCTATTTTGTATCCTAGTTGCATCTTACAACCTTGCAGCAATGTTTATTAGTGTACTTCTTTGGAAAATGTCTGCCAGTGCTGCTTAGTTAATAACATGTCACAGTCCTGTTTCACTAACAGTGTTTGAAATACCAAGGAGTAGGAATTTTAGTGTATCTAAAAGCACTGGTTTTGCAAAACAGCTTTATTTGGGAATTGAGAGAAGGAAGCAGGTGTTTTCAGATGTACGTTCTTTAACGTTCTGTTCACTTATATTCAAAATAAATAGATAATATTTAGAGGTGCTTTCGTATCTTTTTCAACTTACGAGAAATGATACAAATACCCATTGTCCCTGTCAATCCATAGAGTGAAGGTGAGAAATGAAGGAATAGCTAATGCTTCTATAGGAAATGTCTGTAAACAAAGTAAATCCAAAATTTTAAAGTAGCAGTAGCTCTTATTATAGGTTGAACATCCAAAATGCGAAATGCTCCCGTCTGAAACTTTCTGAATGTTGGCATGATGCTCAAAAGAAATGCTCATTGGAGCATTTCAGATTTCAGATTTCCAGATTTGGGATGCTCAACCAGTAAGTATTTAATGCAGATATTCCAAAATTTGAATAAATCTGAAATCAGAAACACTTCTGATCCCAAGCATTTTGGATAAGGGATATTCAACTTGCGTATGAAAGAGATTATTGAACTATTTAAATATAATTTTACTTTTCTTTCTTTCTTTCTTTGAGATGGAGTTTCTCTCTTGTTGCCCAGGCTGGAGTGCAGTAGCACGATCTTGGCTCACTGAAACCTCCTCCTCCCGGGTTCAAGTAATTCTTGTGCCTCAGCCTCCCAAGTAGCTGGGACTACAGGCGTACACCACCATGCCTAGCAAATTTGTGTGTGTGTGTATTTTTAGTAGAGATGAGGTTTTGCCATGTTGCCCAGGCTCCTGACATCTGGCAGTCTGCCCGCCTTGGCCTCCCAAAGTGCCAGGATTACAGGCATGAGCCACTGTGCCTAACCTATTTTACTTTTCTGTATCATTTGTAGTGCTATCCAGTAGGACTTGCTGCCAAGATGGAGATGTTCTCTATCGATGGTCCAGTTGAGTAACTGGACTTTGACCATGTGAAATGTGGCTAGTGGGTCTGAGGAACTGGATTTTAAATTTAATTTAAATGTCAGTATGTAGCTGCTGGCTGTCATGTTGGAAAGCATGGAAAGAATTTAAATGTCAGTTGTAGAGTGAGATAGGATTTGGTTATTGAATAAAAGGGGGCCCTGTAATGTGGACTTGACATCTTCCCTCCATACTTTGGCTTTCTGCCTTCTTTGCCTTTTCATTCCTTCACCTTCACCACCATCATTTTATTGTACCAAAAGCAACTTTAAACTTGGGATGTTTTTCCTGTCCCTAATCTGATTTTTCTTCAGCAGAAACATCTTTAATGCTACAAAATGGAATTATAGCAGTTGTTTTTTCTGGGAACCATGTTGTTGGAGAAATAGTCATTTTAACTGAACTGCTTTGTAATGTTGCCTAAGAAAATATGGTATAATCAAATTATAGTAAAAAATGAAGTGCACTCATAATTACTTTTATAACCTTCCTTTTTCAGTGTTCCCTGGGGCTTTCCCCTCTCTGGTAATCTTAGCCAGCCATAGACCATTCTTTCTAGAATCAGTTTCCTAATGCTAGTGTGGTCTGTGGTCTCATATTGACCAAATTTGGTCTTACTCAAACTTATCATTTTCTTTTATATTATTTTCGTCCTCTTCCATTTTCTGTCATCCTCTGGCCCTTAATTGACTCACCTGGTTCATGGAAGAAAAAGGAAGGGAAATAAATCCAGGCTAGTGAAATATGGCTGGTTCTATCCCTCTGATAACTGAGAGAAACCCAATTGTTTTTATTTTTTATTTTTTTTTGAGACGGAGTCTCACTCTGTCGCCCAGGCTGGAGTGCAATGGCACGATCTCTGCTCACTGCAACCTCCGCCTCCTGGGTTCAGGCAGTTCTCCTGTCTCAGCCTCCTGAGTAACTGGGATTACAGACGCGTGCCACCACGTCAGGCTAATTTTTGTATTTTTACTAGAGATAGGGTTTCACCATGTTAGTCAGGCTGGTCTCAAACTCCTGACCTCGTGATCTGCCTGCCTCAGCTTCCCAAAGTGCTGGGATTACAGGTGTGAGCCACCGCACCCGGCGGAGAAACCTGATCAAACCTGATCTTAGGGACAAATATTTTTTTTTTTTATTTTTTTTCTTTTTTTTTTTTTTTTTTTTTTTTTTTTTTTTGTGAGACAGAGTCTCGCTCTGTTGCCCAGGCTGGAGTGCAGTGGTGCTATCTTGGCTCACTGCAAGCTCCGCCTCCCGGGTTCATGCCATTCTCCTGCCTCAGCCTTCCGAGTATCTGGGACTACAGGCGCCTGCCATCATGCCTGGCTAATTTTTTGTATTTTTAGTAGAGATGGGGTTTCACCGTGTTAGCCAGGATGGTCTCGATCTCCTGACCTCGTGATCTGCCCGCCTCAGCCTCCCAAAGAGCTGGGATTATAGGCGTGAGCCACTGCACCCGGCCCCTTCATACTCTTAATGTGGCAGAAGTACCATTCTCTTCTGACCCTTTTCGTTTCCTTTTAGACATGTCTAAATCATAATGGAGCTTAACTGTAGTAGAGCAAAGTATACACATTGCTTGTTACATATATTCACATTGTTTTAAAATTCTGTTGTACCATGGTAAACATGGATAATACAGTATCATTTTTGAGCAGTTTTTTAAATGTAAATCTGTATCTTATTCAGAGTGTGTGTCTGAAGTTATTAAGGACATTTCCCAACGTTACTGGCCCATTTCCCTTTGTAATCAGAGGAATTCTGTTTCAAGATTATTGCTGTGTGTGGTCTGTGGCTCTTGATCAGAATGAAGTTAAACGGCCACAGGGGGATTAAGCTATGAGGTTGGCGTTTTTCACACTGTTAATATGTTTTCACTAATTGAGTTAGTAGTCCTAGTCAGAGAGGAGCATTTCTTATTAGTGGTCAGTTAAGGCTGTTCCCCAAGGGATATTTCATTGTAAATACTAGTCATTTGGTATCATTCTTCCCTTTTAGGAAGAAGTATACATTGCACTTACTTGTACAGCATTTTGAGGTTGATGCTTTTCTATTCTCCATGGCTTGTTGCATTAAAAATTAAGCAACAGGCCGGGCGCAGTGGCTCACACCTGTAATCCCAGCACTTTGGGAGGCCACAGTGGGCGGATCACAAGGTCAGGAGATCGAGACCATCCTGGCTAACACGGTGAAACCCCATCTCCACTAAAAATACAAAAAAATTAGCTGGGCATGGTGGTGGGCGCCTGGAGTCCCAGCTACTTGTAAGACTGAGGCAGGAGAATGGCGTGAACCCGGGAGGTGGAGCTTGCAGCGAGCCGAATTCACACCACTGCACTCCAGCCTGGGTAACAGAGTGAGACTCTGTCTCCAAAAAAAAAAAAAAAAAATTAAGCAACAGATTTTTTTAAGAAAAAGAACAAAGGAGAGAGTCATTGGGTTAAAGACCTAAGTAGTGTCATAACTCTCTGGAATTACATGTCCATAGGAGAATGTATTGAAATACAAAACCACGTGTTTTCTTGATGCTTCACATGCAAATGCTTGTTCTTTCTTTTTATTCTTGGTTGTCTTTCATTAAGTCATAAATGCCCCAAGAATAACCAGTCTCTGTGTGGTATAGAGAGTCTAATAGCCTTTGTATTAAATCTTTTTTGGCTTGCAATTATCTAGATGTTTCAGAAAGAACAAGTGGATCCTCTTCAGATGAAATTGCAGCAGGTGAATGGACTTGGCCAGGGATTAATTCAGAGTGCAGGAAAAGACTGTGATGTGCAGGGTTTAGAACATGACATGGAAGAGATCAATGCTCGATGGAATACATTGAATAAAAAGGTGAGTGACAATGGGGTAACAAGTGTACTGGAAACAAAAGGCGTAGAAAAGAGACATCTGAATCTAAGGTTTCCCGAAACCTGAATGGAAATAAAAATTTAGCAGTTGCAATCTCTAATTACTAAAAGAGGTCAGTAGTAATTTGAAAACTACTTTCTCCTTTCTCATAATGAACCTACATGTTCATGATACAGGTCGCACAAAGAATTGCACAGCTACAGGAGGCCTTGTTGCATTGTGGGAAGTTTCAAGATGCCTTGGAGCCATTGCTCAGCTGGTTGGCAGATACGGAGGAGCTCATAGCCAATCAGAAACCTCCATCTGCTGAGTATAAAGTGGTAAAAGCACAGATCCAAGAACAGAAGGTAAGTGAGAATGTTGGGACAGTGAACTGTAACAGCCATAGGGAGTGGTAGACAACATATTTGCTTGTAGTTTAAGAAGCAATTCAGAGTTTTAGTAGAATCCTAACCTACTTTGTGTCGTCCTGAAAAGTGGAAATTGATTTTTCATTATCTTACTTAAATCTACTGGTTTACTGTGGCATATATTAGACTGAATAATTTTGCCTGTTCATGTATCCTATTTCAGTGTTCATCCACAATTTTATGTTAAGAGGTTTTTGGTGTTTTCAGGGTCCGCAATATTCTAGATAGTGTTGTATATCATGTACAAAGTTTTATCTATATTTTTTGTTGGTTTAATTTCTATTTTAGTGCAGTTTTTTCTTTTTAAAAACAATTTATCCCAAAGGAAATTTTATTTTTTTTTTTCTCAGCTTTATTGGTGTATAGTTGACAAATAAAAATTGTGTGTGTTTATAATTTACAATGTGATGGTTTGAGATATATATATATGTGTGTATATATATATACACACACACACACACACATTGTGAAATGTTTACCATAGTCAAAATAATTAACGTATTAATCATCTCAAATGTTAACCATTTTTTAGGGCACTTTTCTCTTAGTTCAAAGGAAGTTCCCTGTTAGTCACATAATGGCAATCACTGCTCCATTTAAAAATTTAAGTGTGTGTGAAAAGTGTGTGAGTGGTGAGAACTGTGCTATATATCTCCTGTTTTTGCCTCAAGGATGAAAAAAACTTCTTTTACTCAATGAAGCTTAGGATTTGGCCGGTTGGTTTCTTTTGTTTTTCTTCCTAGTTCAGATTTCAAAATGATCCTGTGTTACAACTTTTCCTTCTCTTTATAATAGTTGCTCCAGCGGCTCCTAGATGATCGAAAGGCCACAGTAGACATGCTTCAAGCAGAAGGAGGCAGAATAGCCCAGTCAGCAGAGCTGGCTGATAGAGAGAAAATCACCGGGCAGCTGAAGAGTCTTGAAAGTAGATGGACTGAACTACTCAGTAAGGCAGCAGCCAGGTAAGACCGAAGGAATTTTGAGGAGTGGGTCAGAGGTTTGTTTTGTTCTTCTTCGACTTACTATCACTAAAGTGCTCTTTAAGTTCTTGGATGATTCATACAGATTTTTGGAAAGTGTTTAATGGCTTTTATTTGAACTGGGATAAGATTTTAAAGATGATGCTCATAACCAGAATCACACTTAGGAAATGGTCTCCTGCATCTTCATAAATTTCCAAGAACTGGAAAACTCATTGCTCTGTGTGGTGGTTCTGCTGTAGTATAATCATAGTTCCAAATGACAGACACAGACTCCTACAGTCCAGCCAAGTTATTTTCTGAGTTTTTGAAACAGATTCCCCCCCCCCTTTATGTTTATAAATAATGCTTTTGATACTTGGAATTGAAATGTGTCATATTTCTTTTCTATTAGCTTATACTAATATTAGATTTTTTTGCCTTTAGAAGCTAGTCTGTGGTTTTGTTAAATATCTGGGAATTCGAGAGATGCATGAACTTACCTCAATATGTGGTCAAAAAGACAGGCAACAAATCTTCCTCCTCCAAGGAAACATTCCCTTTCTCTTTCCATAGCTATAAGTCATGCTGTCACTTGAGCTTAATAAGTCACATAGATGTCTTTACTTTTATACAGTCCCCAGTTTTAAAATTAAATACCAACTAATGAGAAATCAATAAGAGAGTTGATCATTTGTTATTGTACCCTTTACGTTTCCTAGGTAGCCTATGGCAGTCTTCAAATAATTCCCTCTTCAGTCTTTTTATGTCCACCTGCCCATGACTTGCTTATTCCTTACCTGAGTTGCAAAGTATGGCTTGCCCATGTTAGTGGAAGAAACAAAATGGAAAGAATTTGACTTACTTGTATTTCCAGATTTGTACTGCTTATTTTCTTTTCTCTCTGTGCATTCCCAGTAATGGTACCATTAGCTTTCCAGTTTCCTAGGCTTAAAAACTCAACTCCATTTTTACTTTTTTTTTAAAAATTTCTCCTTTATGCCCACATCTATCAGCATGCTAAATTCTGTCTATTTTACTTTACAGTGTCTTTCCTGTCCATCTGTTTCTCTAATTCCCACTCTCCCCTCAGTTCATGACTTAGGAGCTCTCACTAGTTGTATTGAGATAGCTTCTTCACTAATCACTCTACCACTTACCCTCAGGCCTTCCCCTTCCCATCCCCCAGCTGCAGGTGAACCTTTCTGAAATAAGCCTTTAATCATATCTTTTCAGGCTCAGAGACATTTAATTGACTCCCTGTTAAAATAAAACCTTTAGATTATGAGGCTGACACACTGCCTGCTCTACTAAGAAGGTGCTTAAAATAAAATCTGAACTCTAACCCACCATTCAGAGCCCTCTATTTGACCTACCTTTCTTAGTTTCTACTATTCTTCTCACTCCTTGTATTATAGCTGAAGTAAACTATATTCTGTTCTTTAATACCTTCTGACAGTGTCCTAACCCTGTGTCTTATTTTATGGTGTTATAATACATCTTTCATGAAGTGCTTTTGTCCATCTCTCTTCTGTAAAACTTTCCTTTGTTCCCCAAGCATGGAATAACTTTTCCTGCCTCTTCACTGCCGTAACTCTTTATCTGTACCTTGTATTATGATCATTATTTTAGGTACTTACCTTCCTGGTCCATAAATTCCTTGAAGTCATGGTTTATCTTATACATATTTTTATGACTCTTTCCTTCCACTTGTTTCCATCCTCCTAGCCTAATATAGTTTCTGGGCCAATCTTTTAAACAGAAACAAATACCAAGAGTAGATATTTGATGCTTCTAAATTATTTTTAGCTCTTCTCCCTAAAAATACCTTAAATCGTATTACAATACATTCTTCAAATTTTCAGATTCCAAAATCAAATGAGTAAGAAAGACATAAAAATTACAGGCAATTTTTTAAAAATTAAATTCTAGTTTAATAATAATTTTTAATATTGTATATTTTAGTTGCATTGCTTGAAGATATATTTTGAAGGCTGGCATAAACAAACTAGGAAAGAAAGTTTTAGACTTAGATTGCCACTTAAAAAATGTTTTTCTTCATATTCAAACATAATTGAATTTCCAGTAATCAAAATGCCAAATTTTTTAATTTAAATCACTTTTTTTTTTTTTTTTGAGATGGAGTTTCGCTCTGTCGCCCAGGCTGGAGTGTAGTGGCGCGATCTCAGCTCACTGCAAGGTCCGCCTCCCAGGTTCACGCCATTCT